TTCATAATATATAACTTCCAGAGACAGCTAAACTCCGTGTAGTACAGTACTAGTAGACCTACAGAGCATCACACCTCTTCAATAATAATTGAAGAATTATGTTATTAACCAATATATATATATTTATAGCTGATAAATCCCTGAATGTGCTAAAAGCTATTTATGCACATTCTTTTCTCATTCCTGTTCTGATCATCTTTGTTTTCTTTTATTTTGCAACACTCTTCATTTTGACATTCTCTTTTGTTTGTTTGTTTGTTTTTTTCCTGTCATCCCTTTTTGGCATGTCATCTGTCTTATGTTTATTATACTGCTCTTTTTTTTCCCCCCTCCTCCATCTTATTGGTGTTTGCAGGGATAATATGTATATACCCACTGGTTTCTGAGTCTGTTTGCCATTCCTTTCTTCTTGAGTGGAAGATGAGAACTGAAAAGTAAGAAGGCTAGACTCTTGTTTAACAAATTAAATGAAGGCATTTAATGTCACTTCATTCCAAAAATTCTTTTGGGACAGAACAACTATTTCATCACTTCCCAGATAATTGCTTTCTTCAAGGTAAAACTTTTCTAAAATCTCTTCCTATGTCCTACTGTTTTTAAACTGAGAGGAAGATCATTTATCTAAGACCATGCACATAAGGAATAGTACTAATATTCAGATTTGGTGTTTAAATATATGTGTCTGCACGTGTTCTAGCATTGCAATGTCCCCTTGTAGTTACTTGAGGTGCCATAGAGTTGGGTGGCCTCCAGTTGCCATTTCAGAAGGGTCTGGGTCTACTCTATGCTCTATGTTGTATCTGCCATGCCTTACCCAAATGTTTTGAGTATCCTAGACCATTTCCAAGGGCAGAAGTCACCTGCACATAGGCAACTAGATTAGAGCCCTTCCCAGTCCAATCAATGATTTTGGAGAAGCAGACCGTGCATAGACAGATGAATTGCTTTCTGGTTATGTTGAATAGGTATCCATTGACCCTCCCAGTAACTCCTGTTTACTAAATGAGGTTTATTTCCTTCCTTCCATCATGTCTCTAGACAAAGTTGCTGAAAAACATTTTTGTCCCTCCAAGGCCACAGGAAATTGTGCTGAATGATCTTTCCACGGGCTTTTTCATACAAGCCAAAGAATGCAATTCCTTTCCTTCCAACTGACTACATTTCTTCTGCTTCCCCTCTCTAATGGCTGAACATTTATTTCATGTAGTTTTATTGTAAGATATGACAGAAAAAAATTGACAATTCTTGGAATAGGCACTAAAGACTTTTTTAATGCCGCAGGTTGCAAAAAATTACCACAGGTGTTACAAATATTTATGACATTTTTACAAAACTTAAAAAAATATTTACTTTTCATAGAAATGTATGAGTTTCCCCTCTCAAGCAAGGACTGGACTACTGGAATTTTATTAAAATTTCATTTTTTAAAAAAATCAGGATTGTTTTGAGAAAAAATGGTGGTTTACCTGGAAATTTGCATTCTGCAAAGGACTGCCAAACTTAAGTTACTGAAAACCTTACTTTATGGTCTTTATTAGACTCAAACCATGATGCATTAAATGTATATTTCAGCAAAATATGTTAAAGCCCTGAAGGTCTTCATCATCTTTGTTGCCTTTCTCTGGACATGGTCCAGCACTTCAATGTCCTTCTTGAAGTGAGGGGCCTAAAACTGAACTGAGTACTCAAAGTGCAGCCTCAGCAGTGCTGACTACAGCAGGACAATGATTTTTTATACAATGTCTGCAAAAGTCAAGCTAAATTGTTGTTGGTATTGCCCATATTCCTTTCCTGCTGTACGTACAGTTCTGAGTTAAAAAAAGACATTACTTTGCATTTGTACAGTATCTATGCTCATAAATGAGCTGTCCTGCTTAATACCCATCCTTAGAAGTGAGACTGATTGGCAGCTGAATAGAGCCTAGATATAGCTGTTTAATAACATTTCAGATGCATTAGGAAATTGAAAATATCCATCCCTGTGGGACTGTCAACTATAATACAGTACATGTGCCCTCCCAGAGCAACAGGATTTCAGGACAACTGGAATACTCAGTATAACACATATTTCATGGGAGGCTATGTAGGTTGTGCACTCAAGCCCAGTGTTTCATCCAGAGGTGAATAGAGGGATGCAGCATTGTTCCAGTGTCTGAAGAGATGTGATTATTCCAGGTGTCATCTGTTGGTCACTTCTAAGCATCGTCCATTCTACATTAATATGGACTAAATAGACCATACAGGTTCCTAGCCTCACTGTGTGGTCACTGAGGAAGACTTTGTGGGCACCTCCATAGTCTTAACAGGTTATGTAAAAGCTTTGAATCTGTTATTCCCATATACACACACATTTATTGGCTTCAAATGTTACTAGGTACCTTTGTGCATACAAATGACTCGAGTCTATATATCTGCAAGATTAAAGAATGTATTATTGTTCAAATCAAATATTTACTGCTTAGATCTAAGTTAGGCTCTAAGGCACGTAAGCAACCTGGACATTTTGATTGTAGCCCAAACTCAGTGGACAGGAATTTGAATGCTCATACCCCATTTTTCTTGTTGAGTAGCTTCTCCATACTTGTCATTGTTGCCTAATGGTTTTTCACCATTTATTTGTAGGACATTAAAGAGGTATTATCAGAAAATTCTGAGCATTGTAAGAAAATCTCATTGTCATAAAAAGAAAAATGTAAAATGCTTACTTTTGATATCAAACGTCCATGATTTTAATAACCAGTATAAAAACTATAAAATTACATTCTAACAGAATTGTTTTATTAGTTTAGGATAAGAAATTGCAACACAATCTTAACTTTTGATTAAAACATTTATGTTTCTATTGCAGATTGCCACAGAAGCAATAGAAAATATTAGAACTGTTGTTAGCTTGACCCGAGAAAGAAAATTTGAGTTGATGTATGGAGAACATTTGATTGTACCATACAGGTATAATAAAAATAACTAAGCTAAAAAAAAATCTGTAATAAATTGCACACATTTACTTCAACAAAAATAGTTGGTTTTTTGATAGTGTGTATGATTTAATGTATAATTTAATTACCTCAGAATTAATGTAAATATTTTGCATATTTTTTTATTAACAAACACAACCACCACCAGCTGACTTTTTTTTAAACTTGATTTAATTAGTTTTCTTTATAATATTGGTATTTTATATTACAATATCACTTGGTTTGGAAAAATGTTAGTTTTGAGTGAGCTTTGGAAGTGATCTAATCTGAATTTCCACCTGAAGTGTTTTTGATATTTAATTAAAAGCTTTTTAATGTAAATTGAATATTACCTTCTGCCATTTTTTAAAGTATTAGAGGGACTGAAAATATTTGAGTAATTGCTTATTGGCTTGTAGCTGAAAAAAAAGTAATATAAATCTGCCTGGACTAAATAAAAATTTTAAAGTCTTAAAGTGAAAAACTAAAAAGATTCTGTCAAAGGAAGTTTTATTTGTTCTAGAAGGGAATGTTTCATTTTCAGATATTCATGAGAAAAGTAAAGGAAATGACAGCATCTGTACACAGATATAACAAGAGACTTGTGAGGATGCCACTGACACATCAACCATAAAAACTGAGTGATTAGAGCACAGTGCAGGACATAAAACATAGTGCTTAGCTTTTTTCTCAGGCTGATGGCTTTTGAGTTCACATCTCTTAACTTTCCAAACAGTGTCTAAGCCATTCTCAGGGTTGACATTGATGGGATTGCTCCGAGACTTCCATCTTACTGTTGTTCTAGTATAAAAAAGAACTTATTGCCCTATGGGTCAGTTTGTCTGGAAGAGACAGAGATATGTTTTTTAGTTGATGTTTCAGTGTATGTACACTTTCCATTCATAACAGTATCAACTGAAGTCAGTTGGTATTTGCATATTAGAACTTAAGTATGATTGCACACTTTGATGAAAATGTGCATTCTTTCTTACAGAAATTCTGTGAAGAAGGCACATATATTTGGCTTTACTTTTGCACTTTCACAAGCAATGATGTTCTTTACCTATGCTGGCTGTTTCCGGTTTGGTGCCTATCTAGTGGCAAATGGACACATGGAGTATAAAAGTGTGTTTTTGTGAGTATCACATTTGCAATATTTTTCTGTCTATCCAGAAAAATCCTTTATTATTTAAGAGACAATAACTCAATACAGGGCTGTGTAAACAAGTTTGAAAAGACTGAGATTTTACCAGTATAGATATCAGTGACCTCAATACCCAAGAAGGTCAATCATACCAATTTTTTGTTGGCAACCTAATTGTGGTAAACACAGCTCATTTTGACTGGAAGATGTTGGAAAGTGCCTGCATCCCATCTGCTAGCTGAATGTCTCTAGGCATCTGAGTGAGTGAACTTCCAGTGGCTCAGTCAGACTTGAAAGGGATTGTTTGACCTAAAATTGTGTGAGCTCTCCTAGGCTGTTTAAATGCAGAATAAAACAGATTACTTTATGAGCTCTGAAGAGAAAAGACAAAATTTAAAATAAATGAATCTATTTTACTTTGCTTTAAAAGAGGTCTCATATATCTCATATGTCAAATACCACTTCTCAGTGATGAGTAATCATCATTTGTGTGGCAGTAATTAATAGCTGAAGACAGCAGGTTCTTAAACTATTCTAATGTAGCCTGTAAAATTACGTAAAATTTCATAAAATTACATAAAAATCACCACAAAACAATAATAGCATAGTTTTCACCCCTTTTCAGTATTGTAAACCATGCTATTTTTTCCATCAGAGCTGTGATAGAAAATTAAATCTTTATTGTCCCCTTGTTACAGGATGCCTTTCATTGATGCCTTAAAAATTGATCACTAACTCCCAAAAATCATGGAACCATAGAGAGGAAACCATAGCAACAGCAGGATTAGAGTAACAATTTTGCCATCCATTGACCCTTTCCTTATAGCCCCAGATGAGATTTAATTTACTTAATCAGTACTAATAACTAAAGAAATTAGTGCTAATAAATAATGCAAACACTGAATTTGGAATGCAGACATGCTTATTTCACATCATTGAAAGAGGGTGAAAAGGGAATTTCTGGAGCTAAATGAGTAATTGAAGCAATAATAGTTGGTTACTACTTTTTCTAAATTTAGCCCTCTTTTTTCTCTGAGTGAAAGAAAAAGTTGGCTGCAGCCCCATTTCCATTGTCCTTTTCTCCATTGTC